CCACACTAGGACTAAGCCCCTCCATCTGCAACTGGGTACTAGACTTTTTAACAAACAGACCACAGTTAGTGAGGATCCACAACCTCTCCTCCTCCACCATAACCCTCAGCACTGGCTCTCCTCAGGGATGTGTGTTGAGCCCCCTCCTGTTTACTCTGCTCACATATGATTGTGCAGCTACCCATCCAGGCTGTCACATTGTAAAGTTTGCAGATGATACAGCGGTGGTGGGATGCATCACAAACAATGATGAGTCCAGCTACAGGCAGGAGGTGGAACACCTGGAGAGCTGGTGCAGAGAGAATAACCTTCACATCAATGTGAAGAAGACAAAGGAGATGATTGTGGACTTCAGAAGGAACAAAAACATCTACACCCCCCTGAACATAAGAGGATCTGCGGTGGAAGTGGTCTCCAGCTACAAGTACTTGGGTGTACACATGAATGACAACCTCAGCTGGAGCAACAACACCACCAGCCTGATCAAGAAAGCTCATCAGAGACTCTACTTCCTCAGACGGCTGAGGCGAGCTGGTCTGGGAAGCTCAGTCCTCACCTCCTTCTACAGGTGTGCAGTGGAGAGCATCCTGTGCTCGAGCATCAATGTGTGGCATGGAGGCTGCACAGCTGCAGAAAGAAAAGCTTTGCAGAGAGTGGTGAAGGCTGCACAGAAATCTGTTGGAGTCAGTCTCCCCACCATCACAGACATCTACACCTCCAGATGCAGGAAGAGGGCCACCTGCATCATGAAGGACCCCACCCACCCAGCACACACACTTTTTGCCCCACTCCCCTCAGGAAGGAGGTTAAGGAGCATTAAGTGTAGAACCACTAGACTGAGGAACAGCTTCTACCCTGAGGCTGTTAGACTCATGAATCTCTAACTAGAATAATCACTGTGAAAAACCATATCATGTTGCTGCTGATCTGTTTCATGTTGCTGCTGATCTGTTTCATGTTGCTGCTGATCTGTTTCAATGCTGATGTGTTCATGCGTGCACATCTGCTCACAGACTCATGTTCATGTTTGTGGTGATGTTCAATGTTTTATGTTATGAGTGCTTAGTGTATATTTAGTTGATGTTTTTCTTAGTTCATATCTTAGATGTTATTACTGTTTTTCTTATACATTTTATTGTTGGATGTAACTGGGACCCTGTGTACATAATTTCGCTCCACCACATGTACCACATGAGGTGCGAATGACAATAAAGAAACTCTGACTCTGACTCTGACTCTGATTAAGCATGACAGTTAGTTTCATTTAATTTAGAGGCTAGTCTCATGCTCTCCTGTCTATATTTAGGACTTACTTTGTAACACAATATCAACACAGAGACAAAATGAGATGTCAAAAGGCTAAAGAAGGGACAAATAGTACAGTGCACAGTCACTTCTTCCTTATTGACCTTTTCCTAAAACAAGAAAGTTACTCTCATTCAGCCTTGGTTCACTTCCAGTTTTATGAATGAAAGTCACTCTGTAAAATCTGTCACTATTAGATCATCGTGCCAGTTAATGAAGTTCATTTATATATGTATAAGTGCATAATTGCCTAATTTGCCAACTAACTACACTGATGAAGTCAGATGTGTCACAGACTGAACTCAACCAACAACAGCAACAAAGTATTAATGATGGAACAGAAGAAAACAAGAGGTCTGCTGCACCTGCTAACAACATGAATGTTCAGGTTGCTTGTCAAGTTTAAATACAGTAGACCCTCTCTACTTCACAGTTCGACTTTCGCAGACTCGCTCTTAATCAGTTTTTCAACGATTGTCAACTTTAATATTACTCATGTGATTGGGATGGTACGGGATAAAGAGTAAGCAAAAAAAAATTATACGGACAGGCGCCGCCATTTTGTAGTTTTCTTTCAATAAGCCTACACTGATTTGCCATTCAAAAGAACTACACTACCCAGAAGCCAACAGTGCTTCCAGCCACTGCTTTCTGCTGAAATGGAGGGAAAGTTTTGCAACGCAACGACAGAAGTAACAACTTGTCTATTAATCTCACAGAACTGGAAGAAAAGTCACCAATAACCCTGAAGCTTCCTGAAGCTCAATTATCTACGCGCACATCAACCTGGACGGGGCGGTGCGCTTCATGCAGGGTAGGTCTGCAGAACCAGAACTAAGCCCGACCAGAACAGAGCTGCTGTTCTGCAGAGCTGGTGAATACAATGTTGCAGTACTGTACAGTACATTTACATATGTTGTTAAAATGACATAGGTTTGAGTTTAGATTTAGAACATTGCAAGAGTGTGGGAAGGGTTTATAAAGCCTTAAAATATAAATAAATTCTAAAATAGTCTTCTGACTTTGCGGTTTTTCTATCGTGGGTTGTGTGGAATGTAACCCCTGCAATAATCGAAGGACTAGTGAATTCTCACAACTCCGAATGGGCCAGGGTTCAAATTAGGGCTGGACGAAATGGCCAAAACTTTTATCACGATATATTTCTTAATTTCGGTCGATAACGATATAATTCGATATCAATATAAACGATATAAAAGCCTCTGAAAAACTGTATAAATAAATTAATATTCACCTTTTATTTGTATTTAGCCACCAAAACATTTTGAAGTCACCATCAAATAAACATAAAACTCTCAACGTTGTCAATATTAATAGTTTTAACTTTAAACAACAACATAATCTAATCCACGTTTGTTGCATGGGTTTCTCTTTTGATACAGCTGGGGGTGTTTGTTTCAGGGACACGCTGGCTCAAACTTTTATTGTGCTTCATCTTCTGACTCTCAGCATATTATATCGAATAGAAACTCTTCAGATGGAACAAGTTAGATGTGCTCCCACCACTAGTTGGAACGACTCTCCGTCACATTTTGCAGCACACTGACTGAAACCTGCAGTTGATCAGATCTTAGAAAGCCGAACCTCTTCCGCACAGCCGAATTAGTCTTTCCTCTCTTATCAATTACGTCATCTGCTTTCTCTTTGCTTGTGAAAGCTTGTTAAGACACATTCTGATGGTCATTTTGACGAGAAAACTTAACGCACATTGAAGCTTTAGCCTAGCCTAGCCTGCTACAGCTAACTCCTTTGAGCTGTGGTGTATGTCACCACGCACTTTTGTAGTTGTGTCGCAGCCTTTTCTGTTCAGGTTGAAACTGAAGCGGCCGCTTCAACCTGAACAGAAAAAGAAATGTGTCAGTGAAACACTAATCATATTGAAATATCGAAAATGTGCTCAAAACTCATATCACCGTCATTGAATAAAAGTATATCGTGACATATCCGTATCAAATTATTGTCCAGCCCTAGTTCAAATATGACATCTCTTTCTTTGAGGCTGAAAGACTTTCTCCTATAAAGAGTTATGACACAAACCTAAACGTGAAATCATCAGCCCAATGTACAGTGTTGTCACATTGTTGCTGTGCAGCGTTTTCCAGTTTTCCTGAATTACACCAGCCCAGAGAAAAACTGATGAATTATATTCATATTTATATCATAAAAAGAGAAACTTAAATTTGTATGCCTATGCCTATTTTACGACTGTCAACTGTTATTGTTGTTATCCATTGTTGTCATCACTCTCTGTTAAGAAATCAAGTCTCTTATAAATGAGTCTCCGAGGCTCAGTGGGATTAACCTGTCTAAATAAAGGTTGAATGAATGAATGAATAAAGATCCATCCATCCATTTTCTTTACCCGCTTGTTCCATTTTGGGTCACGGGGGTCGCCGGTGCCCATGTCCAGCAATCACTGTGCGAGGGGCGGGGTACACCCTGGACGGGTCGCAAGTCCATCACAGGGCCACATAGAGACAAACGAGACAAACAACCATTCACTTTCTCACTCACACCTAAGGACAATTTAGAGTTACCAATCAGTCTAACATGCATGTTTTTGGTCTGTGGGAGGAAACCGGAGTACCCGGAGAAAACCCACGCATGCACGGAGAGAACATGCAAACTCCACCCAGAAAGGCCCCTGGACCGGGGTTTGAACCAGGGACCTGCTCACTGAGAGGCAGCAGCTCTACCAGTTGCGCCACCGTGCTGCCCAATGAATAAAGATGCTTTGCTGAATTAAAACATGCAGCATTTAAAAGCGGTTGGACTTCTGGTTGTTCTGTAAGTGACTGCACAGAAGCTGTGTGTCCTCTGTAGCTTCCTCTGTATGTGTGTGGTTGCTGCCTGGAAATGACATTTTATATTTTTGATTGGCCTTTATTTTAGACTCTAATCTTGTTTTTTTTCCCCTTCAGAGGTTATTGACCAGTTGAATTGACCTTACTTTGAAATGTCTGGAAAATTTCATCAGTCTTTAAAAAAACTTAAAAAACTTATCTTGTTAAAATTCAGAGAGTAATACCTCGAGAATAAATTGTTTCCTTGACATTGTCTTCAAGAAAATATTTACCCATAAATTTTAACAGAATAAAATCCTAAGAGGACATGCCCACTTCAGAAACATATTACACATACCTAAATAATGTTTTTCCTTATCAAAGAGAGCGGGCGCACGCCCACTAAAGTCCATAAATGTCACCCACAGCTCTAGAAATGTGTAAGACACTTGACGTAAACAACTACTTTATGACCATCAAACAGGAAGCACGATCTGAGGTAAAAATATATCTTTGCTCATCGTAAGCTGACTTCTAGTCAAATGTTTGTAAAATAAATCAAAAATTAAAACTATACCTGAGTTGGAGGCTACAAACTGACACGATTAACAGAAAGAACGAGGACATTTGTGGTTCTGCCGAGTTTTAGTTGAGCTGAGAGTTTGACAAGTTTAAGAACTTAGTTCAGATTTTAAATTTTCACATCAAATCCTCAGAGAGAGGTTTGCGCCCTTACTCGTTTGCCTCCCAGCCTGTGAGCGGGAGAAATGTTGGTGAATGAAAGGACGAGACCGCAGTCAAAGGTTCATAGGTGGTGTTTGAAGTTGACAGTCGGGAAGTGTGAAACGACAAAGAAAGGCTTCACCACAGGAGCAGCTGATGGCTCCTGGTGAGTCAGCTCCACTGATCTAACAGCAGCGTGGGCTCTACGAAGAGCTGCTGTAAGACGCAGATGAGCTTCTGCTCGTCTTCCGTTCATAGTTTACCAACCGCTGTCCAACCAGGTATCTGCAGGACAATTCAAAATTTCAGTCATCAGTAAATATTCTGTATTTAAAACAAAACAAGTTTACTAACTGCTGTAGAAAATGACTAATACAAGTTTAAGAAAAATCAAATTGAACTAAAATGTTTTTTTTCTTTCATTCAGATCTCCACACTCTTGTACAGACGTGCACGGACCTTTATTTATGATATAGATAAAATGCCATTTCTCTCACCAACAACGTGACTAAAGTTTCTCTGAACAGACACTGATCTCACTGCCTTCATGCTGAAGTTAGCACAAACGATTTTATTATCTACTAACTTGTCATTTTTGATGTGCTCGTAGAGGCGTCTGAACTGTCGAATCTGAAAGGACAGTATGGCCAACAGTACGACCACCATCAGCAGGAACGGGTAGATCCTCCTCTCCACCAGTGTCTGCATTTCTGCCTGCACTCCTGCAAAGAGCAAACGGAGAAGAAATGGAAAACTGGTACTGAAGTTCAGGCGGTGAGACAAGAATATTAAAGACAGTGTTGCCTAATTTTAAGTACCGGTACTTAACTGGGTTTCTTACTGACTTTATTTGTGTTGTCATTTTGGTTTTGCATTTAAAAGTTGTGAATAAGAAAAGGTGAGTGATAATAATACTGCATAAAAACTTCCACTAATCAACAAAATCACTTTCCGCTTATCTTTTTAAAATGTCCACAGCAGTTCGTTTTTCTAGGTAAAACAACTAACATTACTCCAACACTACAGCTCATCTTATTTGTTTCTAACCAGGTAAGTTTGTTTCTTTCGGCTGCTCCCTTCTCCAGGGATTGTCACAGCGAGAGAACCCACATGAAAGATCTGGCATTTGTGTTACGCCAGTTGTCCTTCCAGGGCTTGAACACACAACCTCAGGATTACAAGACTGCAACACTGACCATTAAGCTACTGCAGCCCTCTTGTTTCTAACCAGGTAATGGAAAAATGTTGCCCTAGCAACCACGGACTACAAATAGGCCTGCTACACGCAACATTTACGCACAGTGTTGCTAAAGATACGTATAGCTATTAAGTGTTTCAGGCTATTCAGAGTTGTCGAAGAAGGGGCATCAGTGTTTTGGTAGGCAGGGCGCTCAGTTCTGTTGACAGGGCGGAGCACCCTCCTTTGATACTGGTAGAGGAAACACTGCTATTGATGGTGTTGTGTGCAACTGGTTCAGCAAAGAACTTCATTATTTACTGTACTCAAAAATGCATGAACCAAATGTAAATGTTATGGAAATGAGGGAAACAAAATACACAACTGCCCAGCTGCCCGCAGCATTCAAGGAGCACCAGATTAATGATTTGGTCAAAGCAAAACAAACAACATATCGACGTGCAACCGTACTCGGCTCTCCATAGCAGTTTTAAAGACATAAGAGCGCCATTTTTAGCTTTACACTTGTCACCGTTGTAGCTAACTAGTCCTTAAAACAAAGCTAGAGTGAACAAAGGCATTATTCAGCATTATCTGTACGCGCTTCTTCCTTTTCAGGTCGGGGGGGGGGGGGGGGTGTCATTGGTGCCCATGTCCAGCCATCACTGTGTGAGAGGCAGAGGACACCCTGGACAGGTCTCCAGTCCATCACAGGGACACAGAGACAACTGAGAGAAACATTCACTCTCTCACTCACACCTAGGGACAATTTAGTTACCAATCAGCCTAACATGCATGTTTTTAGTCTGTGGGAGGAAACTGGAGTATCTGGAGAAAACCCACGCATGCACGGAGAGAACATGCAAACTCCACCCAGAAAGACCCTAGGCTGGGATTTGATCCTGCGACCTTCTCGCTGAGAGGCAACAGCTCTTAAGCCACTGTGCCGCCCATGGTACAACTTTAGTCACAAAATCTATTGCTAGAGAAACCTGTGTTGTACTGCTGCACCAAAACTGTACTAAATTGTACTAGTACTAGGAGTACTATACACTTATTGTACACTTTCTTTTTTATGTACCTGTTGTAGCCCAGAGCCAAATGCAAGTGAAATAATCCAATCAGAAAGCAGTTTGTTATTAGCAAAATCAAACAAAATGAATTTTGTTGTACTTTGTACTGTTTTTTTTTCTGGCCGCTCCTTTCGTCACCACAGCAAAAACTCGAAGATTTGGCAATTGTTTTACACTGGATGCCCTTTCTGACATAACCAGTGACCACCGATCTACTGCAGCTCCATGTATGGGGCAGAACGCTGCATCTAGGCACCCAGGTCTTAGATGCCTTGCTCAAGGGCTCACAGTGGGGCAAATGAGGGTGGAGGCAGGTGTTGGTGCTTAACTTTCTCCCCCCCAATTTTTGATGTTACAATTTCGATTCGATCCTTTGACCTCCTGATCACAGACTCGTCTTCTCTAACCTCTTCACCACCACTCCCCCTGTTTGAAATGAATTTATATTGACAGTATTTTTAGTCTCTTGGAACCAGAAGAATAAAAACAGAGGCATTATTCTTGTACGGCCATCTTTGCGCTCACACATAGAATAAATAGAAGAGAAGCATTTAAAAAACAGAAAGTACTGGCATTTTTCTACGTTCGTTAAAACAAACCTTTGTAGGAAAAATAAGATACACCACAAAGAAAGTGCAAAACATAACAAATAAACATTAAGAGTGGCTTACCCAGCATAGGTGTAACGCCTTTAGAGATGGTGTAGGGCACACAGAGAGACAGCAACAGGACACAAATGACTGGGGCAGCCAGCCTCCGAATGATAAAATGGAGGTCAATGTTTCTGATGCCATTAGCATACACCTGCAGGAAGAAAAGTACTGCATATGGCACATTGTACACCCGTCGACAAAGTATTATACAAAAAAAACAGCAATCCATAGCAATGGCCCGAAGAAGCAACGACCTTATACAACTGTTGATTTGTGAGCTGGTGCGATGAAAAGATTATGTGGCATGCTGTCGAGTGTTGGTCCAAATATTTTAAGTTCTATTTAAGTTTCAATAAATTACTTTGAGCAGAGCAGAAGTTAGGGGCCGGACAAGAGAATGTTTGACATACTGTATGTCTGGATGGACAAATGGAGCCTATATCATAACATGTCTGCCTTTCGATAGGCGTATAAAAAGAGTGACTCAAATTTCATTACAAGACCTGTAGAATGTTTTTACCCTTCTTAATAAAAACTAAAGTTCTATAAAGAATATGTATTTTTGTGGATTTTAAAGAAGAAATCTTCAATTGAAAGCAGCCAGTTTCAACGCAAGTGAAAATCAAGAGACTCTTACATGTTCTGAAAGTTTTTAACATCTTCAACAAAGTTTTCAGTCATCAATAGTCCAATTAGGTCCTTTTGGTTCAATGGAGATTGGGTGAATGTAACACTGACCTGTTCAATGACTGTTTTGAGCCACCACTGAGGACCCATTAGTGTTATGGCAGCAATGATTTTGGCATGAAGGACGCCCAAAGCCCAGTCCTGCAACACACACAAAAAGAAATAGTCATAAAAACACAGAAACATATGAAGATAGACTTCAATAGACATTCCACACTGAAAAAAAACTCACAAATCTCAAAAATTTTTGTTTTTGTGCTAATTTATGAACTTTATTTTAAAAGTGCAGAAGGCAAGTACAGTAATCCCTCATTTATCGTGGAGGATCCGTACCCTGAAGCCCCGGGATAAGTGAAAAACCGCGAAGTATGAATAGTAGTACAAGTAGTAAGTTTATTTTGGTATTCAAGAATTCAAGGTTCTTTATTTGTCATTCCACCATATGTGGTACATGTGGTGGAATGAGATTATGTACACAGGGTCCCAGTTACATCCAACAATAAAATGCAAAAGAAAAACAGTAACAACATCTGAAATATGGACTAAGAAAAACATCAACTAAACACACACTAAACACTAGTAGTACAAAAACAATACGCCGAACAGCAGCAGCAAGAATACGAGTCTGTGTGAGCAGATGAAAACAAATGAACACAGCAACATGAAACAGATCAGCAGCAACATGAAACAGATAAGCAGCAGCATGATGTGATTTTTTTCACAGTGATTATTCTGGTTAGAGATTCAGTTGAGTTGAGTCTAACAGTTTCAGGGTAGAAGCTGTTCCTCAGTTTAGTGGTTCTACACTTAATGCTCCTCAACCTCCTGCCTGAGGGGAGCGAGGCAAAAAGTGTGTGTGCTGGGTGAGTGGGGTCCTTCATGATGCAGGTGGCCCTCTTCCTGCATCTGGAGGTGTAGATGTCTGTGATGGTGGGGAGACTGACTCCAACAGACTTCTGTGCAGCCTTCACCACTCTCTGCAGAGCTTTTCTTTCTGCAGCTGTGCAGCCTCCATGCCACACGTTGATGCTGGATTATTAGTATTAGTCTTCTTTCCTCTTCTTTCGGTTGCTCCCTGCGTTAGGGGTTGCCACAGCGAACTAAGTCGCACGAGGACGTGGCAGTTATTGTTACACCGGATGCTCTTCCTGACACAACCACAGACACAGAGCTACCACAGCTCTCTGTGTGGAGCAGAGAGCTGCTATCTACGACACCCGAAGGAGCAGATGGTGGGGGTTAAGGGCCTTGCTCAAGGGCCCAGAGTGGGACGAATGAGGGTGGAGGCAGGTGTGGGTGCTTCACCTACCCCACCCACATTTTTGATGTTGTCGGTACCGGGGCTTGAACTGGCGATCTTCAGATCACAGGCCCACTTTCTCTAACCTCTGCGCCACCACTCCCCTTTATAGTATTAGTACTAGTATATATAAAGGCATTTTAAACCCTTCCCACACTCTTGCAATATTCTAAACAATGTTTCTAAACTAAACACTCACAGAATGTCATGATTTCCCTCTCTGTGACGCCGCTGCTCTCAGCCACCTGCAAGCGCTCTTGGTAATAATAACCTTAGTCTGTGTGCAGCAGGCTGTATGACAAGACAATAAAATATCCCTTTGCCATATAAGGAAATAAATTATTTTATAAAATAATTCATTTTTTAGCGGCACAGTAGATCAGTTGGTTGAGCTGCCACCTCTCAGCGAACAGGTTGTCCCATTAAAATTCTGGCCAGGGGCCTTTCTGGGTGGAGTTTGCATGTTCTCTCTGTGCATGTGTGGGTTTTCTCCAGGTACTCCAGTTTCCTCCCACAGACCAAAAACATGCATGTTAGACTGATTGGTAACTCTAAATTGTCTCTAGGTGTGAGTGAGAAAGTGAATGGTTGTTTGTCTAATTTGTCTCTATGTGTCCCTGTGATGGACTGGAGACCTGTCCAGGGTGTCCCCTGCCTCTTGCAGTGATGGCTGGACACGGGCACCAGTGACCCCCACGACGACCCGACCGATCGACGGACGGACAGACGGATGGATGGATAACCTGTGTTGTAGTTAATGTTTTATCATACAGCTGAATTTTGAATTGGAAAAAATACACAAATATTTTCTGCCAAGAAGTTGCTCATACTTCATAGTTCATACATAAACAAAATCACACTAAGTATGATGAGCAACTTATTGGCAGAAAATATTTGTGTATTTTTTTCAGACATAAATATCTAAATCTGCCATAAAAACTGTGCATGCTACTCCCTACTTGTTGGATTTACCAACTTTGTTCTACCCTTTTCCTAAAACGAGATCTAGTCAAGAAAATCTGTTTTCATTCTGTTACATAAGTGATAAAAAAACAACCTTTTAACAATGATTAAAATCAAATGACAGCAATTGTCTAATTATGTAATCACACCTCGTATCTCAGCTACTCCCACGTACCTGCCAGGGGTAGAAGAGAGGAGTCTGGTCGAGTGGGACTCTGAGAGGAGCAACAATGACCAGTTCAAACAGCAGACCTAACAGCAGAGGAATCACTCCGGCTAACATCAAGGTTACCACCACGGTCTTGAAGATCTGCTCTCACAACATCATCACACACAACAAACCAGATCCACATAAATAAGCATGTTTATTATGTAGAGGAATAACTATATTTTGTGTCACTGACTTCAATGCCAACAACAAAAAAAGTCAGATTACCATAAGTGTCCACTCATGGACTTTGATCATGATGACTGTCCTCCCCTGTGGCATCCAGGACAGCAGCACTGTGGCAGCTCGAATGAACAGCCAGCAGGCGTACAGACCGCTGGCTGCTGTGTACAGCTCATGAACCATCACACTGCCCATCCAGAGAGACATCATCCAACGACCCACACACACTGAGAGGGATAACAGAAAGGACAAAAGTGCACACTTGTGACTGACTGCAACCACAGGAAGGGAACGCTCACAAACAGACGGCTTATAGCTTACCTGGCAGGGTGAGACAGATTAAACTTGCTAGTAACAAAGTCACACACATGAAGACCACCAGCAGAATGATCTAAACAAGAATTCACACAAATTAACAGCAAGATATAGCATGATTACATCAACTCGGATCTGATCAACTTTTCAGTTTGGAGCACCTTGAGGTGGAAGTTGTGGGGCCGGTGGTACGGCTGGAAACCCACAGGTCCACCCTGCTGCAGAATGGCTTGGTGGGCAGCATGAAGACCCTCTCTAAGGCCAGGGATCCGGTTGTTGTTAAAGTGTCCAGGAAGGTTATTTGGTTGGTTTTCATCATCTTCATGGTCCCCCAAAAGGTATGAGTGAAGGTCACTGAAGGAAATTAATTACTTTACCACTTTATTTGTCAAGTAACATAATCACACAAAAGAATAAAAAGAATAAACACGAAGTCCTTTTTGTAGTATGCCTTTTCAATAACTGTGACAGATTAAACCCAAAATTAACACCTAGTAAGTAAGGCTTACAACTGTTACATTATAACCTGTTAACCAACAAAGTCCATGCTCAATAATCCAGGTATACAATCCAGCACTTTTCAGTCAGGTCATCTGGACAGTTTCTTTTTTGTGTGTGCTGAAACAATCCAGAAGGCTTCATCAGTCAAGGAAACACACAACTGGTTTGTTCCACTTTGGAGTAAGCTGTTGGGGGAAGAATCAGTTTTGTGTTGTGTGTTTCCTTGACTGATGAAGCCTTCTGGATGGAAGGTAAAAAAAAGAAACTGTCCTGATGACCTGACTGAAAATTGTTGGATATAACCTGTTAAATGTATGTGTCTGTGTACTGCATGTGTATCTTAGGCCTACAGCACATATCCAGCTGTGAAGGTCCAGGCGTGGACGAGGCGTTTGAGCCACTGGCGAGTGTGGCCCTGCTCCAACAACGCTGGCAGAACCACCTGAAGCAGCAGCAGCTCCAGAGACAGCTCGCTGACCGGAGCATCACTGCAAAAGCACATTCACTTCACTATTAATGCTACTGCAGATACTGCTCATCTGCTACAATATTTTTATTTATTTGAGCATAAACAAAAATGAGTTTGTGTCATTTTCAGCTACCAGATCAATTTTTTTTTCATACCTGTAAAGCATGACATTGTAGGGAAGGAAAGTTGGGAAGAGCAGCTTGATAATCCTGATTGGAAGCCAAAGCATCAGCAGAACTATTGAGCCAAAAACCACCTGGAAATGCACACACACACACGTTAATAACTGTTAGTCAATGTTGAAAATATTAACATTACATAATAGCACGTTAATTTCAACCAAATTTAAAACAAAATGTTGTCAACAATATTTTAACAAGAGACAAGTCGATGCCCCCACATCGCTGAGGGCTTCTCTCTCTCTCTCTCTCTCTCTCTCTCTCTCTCTCTCTCTCTCTCTTTTTGTTGAGAGAAAGTGAGAGAGAGACACCGCCACACAATGCCTCAAAGCTATAGGAGAAGGGGGCACACAATAATGATGCCCTATGACTACAAGATCTAAGATCTTAACACAGAAATCTCCCACAACAAGAACCAGTGCTTATTACAGTGGCAGACATCCAAGACAGAGTCTTAGGAAGGAAGAGCTGGACTGAACCTGGGCCTGACATGATCCACACCTACTGCCTAAAGAGACTAGCTATGTTTACATGCGCAAAATTCTTTGAGCGGATTGAGATGTTTTCAGATTAAATAATTCAAATGTATCGTTTACGTGGGCACCATCTGTTCATGATGAGCGTTTACATGCAGCGGCTTTGTTCTGAACAGAAGTACTGACATGTGCAGAGCGGTAAACTCTCCTTAAAATACCACCGAAGAAGTTCTACTTCTGGTTTACTTCCGGGATGAACGTAAACAAACCTGAGCACCCAAAATGGACCCGCGGCAGGTTTTAATGATGGTGGAGACGTTACTGCACTCCCTGACTGAGCTACAGGTGATACAGATCATTTTGAGCTCTTTCAAAGTTTCTAGTAGAAATGTTGTCGCTCACCGACCAGTTTTGCTTCCCCAACATGCTAATATTATTAGCATTAGCCAGGCAGAAATGACATAGTTCGCACATGCGCAGTCAGGTCAGTTTTCCACGCCCAGAAAAAAAAAAAGAACAGGTCAAGCGTTTACATGCGCACCGTTCGGGTTATGAATCAACGTAAACCACCCGTTTCCTTCTGATCACAAATTCTTTTGGATTGCACTGAATAAACAAAAAATAACCCGAACGGAGCGTTTACATGACACATTTTTATTCCCAACGTCTGTTTAATCCTTATGTCTCTTATATACCTGTAAACATAGCTAGTGACTGCTTTTCATAAACGCCTAGCAGCACAGATAAATCAGCTGCTCATGGAAGGGTCCAACATAGAGTGGTTGACACAAGGCCAGACAGTCCTGGTGATGAAAGACCGCCAGAAAAGGGCAATCCCATCCAACCACTTGCCTCTGTACATCATGAAAGCTCCTACCAGGCATCATAGCAGCAAAGATAAATAGGCACATGAGTCAATTAGCGAGGCACAGAAAAGAATTGGCACCAATAATGAACTGGTGCTTGGCTCCCAAGCGCAAGCTACTGGTCAACAGAGCCATAGCTCGAGACTGTAAGACCAGACACACTCACCTGGACTGACTAGAGGAAAGTCAATGACTCAGTGTCACACACCTGAATACTGGAGCATTTGAAACTACACAACATCAACACTGAGAGCCTTCATCAAGAACTCAGTGGGAATGTGAAAGACAATTCTAGAGGCCAATTCAAAGCCAATTGCACAAGTAAGCATACACACACACACACACACACACACACACACACACACACACACACACA